AATTCATTTTTCATTATATGAATTTGGACCTTATTTTAATTTCATTTTGGCCCCAATCAAAAAATTGGAATTTGATGCCAACAAACACGGCTTATGTAATTTCTAACAAGAGAGAGAAAATGGTAGAAATTTTAGGGAGAAAAAAAATGTAGCAAGTGGCCTAAATATAGAAGTTGCATGCACATGGGAATAAAGAAAAACGGCCTTTATATACTTTTACCAATTGATGTGAGCATAGGTGGCATCTACAAATGATGACATCCTACATGGCAATTGTAATCTTCTCACTAATCCAACAACATGAACATCAACTTCGAGGTAATCAAGTAACTAAACCTTTAAGAATTACCAAGTTTTCATAATTCGTTTATAATAAAATCAAATTCTCCAAATTTCAAATGGGAGAAAACGCTTTAAACAATTGGAATAAGAAATTTTAGATCATTTACAATGGGATTGGATCCCCAAACTTTCAACATATAAATCTCTACCATGCTCTCATTTTACTCAAATCAGAGTTTCAAAGTAGTGTAGAAGTACGGAAATCAACAGGGCCTAAAACATTAAGTTTTAAAGCTCAAATATGTGAATCATGCAGAAAAATCACACATGTGCCACGGCTAAGGGTCAACGTGCTGCAGCTCAAATTGTCTCTGTGCCATGTGCCACATTGCATTGCACAAAATATGACAATAAACAGTTGATGTTATATGATAGCACTAGGAGTAAACTTTTGACACGTCCCAAATCTTGTTCGACATCTGATTGAAATGATTTTGGTGTCTACATGGAGCTTTCTTCTAACTCTAGCTAATGGTATAAGTTTCAAACTCAAATTAATTTTCTACAAAGAGTTAGACACATAAACTCATTTTTACCATTTTTTCACAAAAACTCACCACAAGGGTGTCCAAACTCACACACAAAGTGCCATAAGCCTACACCGACCACTCAACTATGCTCAATGGACTCTATGGAACTTGTACAACACACCACACTGAACCAACAACATATAATCACAAATTCACCACTCAACCCCATAATTCATAAAAGACAAGGGAGAGGAAATATTTGCACAAACAATTCATTTTCATTCCAAATTAATCAAACTATATATATTCCTACTTGCACGAGTATTTTGGCTCTATCCAAGGGTTTACAACCAAAACTTACTAACCCATAGCACAAGATACACAAGTGTGACAATGATAATGCAAGTAGTGCAAAAATGTTCATGTGAATCCTAATTGGCAATCAAATCAACATTTATACACATAAAACTACAAGGATATTATCATTAATTATCCCATTTTTGTGAGTTTATCAACATTAATCCCCACATTCTCTATTCTATCAATCCCATAATTCACTATCCATTCATACCCAATAGGTTTACTAGGTTCCTTTGACCCACATTATCATTAATAAGTCACCTAACCACCATTAATGAGTATCAAACTCTCCCAACAACCTCATTCATTGTTAATTTCACATATTAATGGCTCCCGACCACTAACCACTCATAAAACCTTTAATGTTGGTTTTAAATACTCTAAACTATTCTCATTTTAGTGATGGAATAAGTCTATTGATAAAAGCACCGTCATTAATTCATTAGTGACGAAATTTTAAATTCTATCGCTAATTGGTGATAGAATTAATGGCCAAAAATTTTTGTTCCTAAATGAGGATAAGTTATTCTAATTTTGTGATGGAATGCATTCCATTGCTAATTCATCGCAAATGAAAATTCTCTCATCACGTTCCTGTCATGTCACCTCCACATCATATATTAACTTCAAATATGCTTTGGTCAAGGTCAAATCTACAACCTCACACCTTCTTGAGTTTTTGCGTCCAACCTTATTACCAATTAAACTGAAGGAGATCTTTAGTTTTTAATTGATAAATTAAATATACAATATATAACCACCTACATACATATATATATATATATACTAATAAATATATAATTTAAATATATTTATTTTATTTAACATTATTTTTATTTATGAATAAAATAAATTAATTTTTTATTTAATACTTATTTTATATTATATTATAATTTAAAAATATTTTTTAGCAAATTTAATATTATAATGAACAAATACTTTATTATAGCTATATATTATATTATAATTTTTATAATATATATTTTATATTTTTAAATTATTTTTTAAAAATATTTTTATGTTTAAATAGAAATAATTAGGTATGTTACTATGTTATAAAAATAATTAAATATATAATTTAAATTATTATAATTATCTAAATAATTTGAAATAATAAATTATAATTATTAAATTATTTATTTATTGCAGAATTGTAAATTATTAAATAAATTATATATAAATATAAATTATGAATCATATAATAAAATTTAAAACAATTTACAACGGAAAGGTTTGCAATGGAATCTTCCATCGCAAATAGTATCATAAAATGAGAATAACTTATCCTAAAAATTAACAACAAATATTTTCATTAAAAAATTTTGTTGCTAAATTATTTTTGATGATTTAGCGACCGAATAGCAACTGATTTTTTAGTTTCTGTCAATAAATTAGTAATGAAATTAGCAATGGATTAGTGATGAAAATTCATTCTGCAGATAATTTGCTGTTTTTTTTTTTGTAGTGAATTAAAAATTTCCGTCACTAAATTCTGTGTTAATTTGCTATTTTTTGTAGTGAATTAAAAAAAATCCGAACATATCATTTGGAAACTCTTTTAATTTTATTTCCATCAATGTAGATCTGCATGCTTCCACCCGAAGCCCGTAGATCCGCTACACACAACACAAATTCGTAATATATTTATTTCCTGCACCCAACAAATACATGCACTGTTGTTTTTTTTTTTTTTAAGTATATCAATTTTCTTCTCCTTTTTCATTTACTTCTTTTGTAATTTCTATTATAATGTCATTTACATCATGTTTATTCCCAACCCATGCATCTTCCATTTCTATTATAACTTTTCTACTGGCAGAGGCACATATCACCCTACTTTGCAGAAAATTACATATAAAAGGTAATATGAACTTTAATATTTGACAGCCAGCATTTCTAAGTTTTTTTTTTTTAATGCAAGGCCAAAATAAAACTGTACAAAGAGATTAAGATCTAATCATGTATAAAACCAAAAAATTTCTACAGTTGGACGGTGGGTTTTCAAAAATCATAGTACCATATTATCACATGATATCCAACGAGTCAATAAATTGATTTGTCTATTTGCTTCTTTATAATCGTGGTTAAAAGTGATCCAATTCCTCACAGTGAGATCTTTAATTTTCTTGATAATCTCAAATTTTGGAGACTTTCTGAGTAGGTGTGATTAATGAGCGACAAGGCCTTCATTGAATACATTAATTTTGGATAATTTCACATTCCAATGAAGGTTAAGCCTTTCAAAGATTCCCATGAGCTCAGCTGTTATGCTAAGATGATAGCCAAGATATTTGAAAAATTCTTTAATCCAATTTTTATTATCGTTTGATGATGCCTCCACATATAGCAGCAACAGTCCTAAGATTTTGAATCCATTGAATCAAGACCTGAATAATGCATTAATGATGTATTTAGGGACAGAACCTGGTATATATTTGGAGGCCTTGGCTCCCCAGCCCAGTGGCTCCTGTTCATGTGAATGGGAGTGGGGCATTTCAAATGAGATTTTGGCCCCTCCAAAAAATCTTAAATAAATATTTGTATACATATATTTATAAATACATAAATATTATATCATATACTCCCTCTTTAAATACAAGATACTTTTAATTAATGTATACTTTTAATAAGTTAATTATTGAAATTTAAAATTACACACTCTTTTTATATGTACTCTTATTTGATAGTGTCTCAATTAAAAAAATATTATTAATTATACCCTAATTAAATACATTTTAAAAAGTTATTAATTACACTTTGAAAGACTTAAAATACCTTATATTTTAAAAAAGTGTCTTACAATAATGAAAGGAGAGAATATTATTGCTATATACATACAATCACCAATCAAACATTATCAATATTTTAGGTCAAAAAAATATCAATATTTTATGAAATATAAAAGTATGCCAAAAATATAAACTTTTTATATGTTCTTTATTTATCTTGAAACCAGTATATTAAATTGATGCACACAAAATTTTAAACACATTGCAAGTGCACGGATCTAACATATTATAGCAAATCAAGATTATCTCACAAGGAACTAATTAAAAGGAACTGGCACAAATGGAAGTTGTTTTCGTCCCAATTAGATTGTATAATCAAAAGTGAAGTTTTTATTAAATTAAAAATATAATAAAATAAAATAAAATAAAGTCAAAGAATATACCCAAGGTAAGATTAACAATTAAAGAGAACCTTAAGAATTCTAATTCTCTTTTATACTTTACAATTCTATTTCTTCTAGTTATTGTGTTCCAATTTAGCTTTAAAATCAAGGCTCTAATTTAGATTATGTATCCGTCGATTTTAAAACCCATGATCTAACTATACTATGATGTTTCAAGCAAGTTCTGACTCAATTATGCACAACTCTTAAGAGATCACTTAAAGCTTTTAAGTATATGTCTATCACAAGCACAGATTAGGTTAAATTCAATTTTATGTTGCTTAATAAATAGTCTATTATTTGAGATTCCTTTCAAAGGCAAATTTTAATATCCAAACACTTACTACAGTTGTCCACCCTATAGTATGAGAACAAAATAAATGATATTAAGTATTAAGGCATCCATCAAAATCAATAACTAATATTTTTTTAATATAAATGGGCATCTGTTGGTGTACATACCTCCACACACACAGATATATATATATATATATATATATTATATGGGCATCTGTTGGTGATATTTCACCAAACACATGGCATATGATTAAGCGTGCATCGTGGTCTAATTAATTTATTCCATTAATTATTCAATTAATAAACAAATATAATAAGGTATGGTCGTAAGGCCACAAAGCAAAAAAGAGGCTGCTAGTTTTCCTTGCCAACTTGAATTTTGATAAACTAAATGCAATTATTGATCATTGCTCGCATCAATAGCACTCATCAAGAGGCGATCCTATATGCATGAGTACCATTTTTAGTGACCCAACTGTTTCTCAAGCCTTAATATCTACCAAAATCCCACGTTAATTATATCTTGAGAAGTATCACAGATCAAACATGGCCGACAGCAAAATCCCAAGAATGATTCTCTCCAACCACCAGAGTATGTCGGTGATGGGCCTGGGCACCGCCGCGATTGAAGTTCCGGGCGTAGCCACCAAGGCGGCAGTTATAGAGGCAATCAAAGTCGGTTACAGACACTTTGATACTGCTTCAGCTTATGGGACAGAGCAGCCACTAGGGGAAGCCATAGAAGAAGCTCTCAAACTTGGTCTTGTCGTGTCCAGAGACGAACTCTTCATCACTTCTAAGCTTTGGTTCACCGATAATCATCCTGATCGTGTCGTTCCTGCTCTCCAAAAATCTCTTGGGTAAGTACAACAGTAAGATTTAAACAACTGCTAGTTTGTCCAGGTGTTTCAGTGGAGGTGAGTCCATGTGGCAAGTCCCATATCGAATAAAATCTCTTAGGTTTTGAATTAATAGATAGTGGCCTTTCATTGCCCTTACCTGTTTCTCCTCTCGTCTCATACCTAACAATAATTCTTACCTTGCGGGGCTTATTAACTATGTGGCTGCAGGTTACTAAAACTTGAATATCTAGACTTATATTTGATCCACTTGCCCATCAGTATAAAGCCTGAGAGCAGCAATTTTTTCCCATCTAAAGATAACATAGTACCATTAGACATAGAAGGCGTTTGGGCAGCAATGGAAGAGTGCCAAAAACTGGGTCTCACACAATCAATCGGAGTCAGTAATTTCTCGGTGAATAAACTTGAGAGTTTATTGTCCGTTGCTACTATTCCTCCTTCCGTGAATCAAGTAAGGCCATCGATCTTACTGAAGTTTAATTTGTACTTTTGCGTGTGTTTCTGCTTCTTAATTGCTTTCCTATTCTTAATCTATTGACTTTGGTTTATGGTTTACTGTATTAATTACTTAATGATTGAGTGGATATGGCCGCGTAACTAGAGATGATCATCTGCATCTCTGTATAACTTGTAAAATAATTTAGTTTGCGCGTCATTCTTTTGTGCTTTGCTCTCAGATTATACAACCACCTCTTTCATATTAAAAAAATGTCTACAATATAATATTTTTCTTATAAAATAATAGATATATGAGCCAATTATCCTTTAAACCTTAGATTCAGTAGACCCTAAACTTATTTATTATATAAAGTATTTTTTTAATTTTTGAAAATGTTGCAATCTAGCCCCTACCATTACAAATGTTAACTTTGGCAATTAATTGATAAGGAAATTACAGAAAATGACTTCAAAAATTATAGATAATGACCAAAATATTGCAATAAATGACCCAACAATTACAGACAATGACCCAACAATTATAGAAAGAAGACCAAATTTTTTTTGTCATTTTCTTTAATTTTTGAGGTCCTTTCCTATCATTTTGTGGTCAACTAACAGTCAAAGCTAAATTTTGTTAATGGTAGAGGCCATATTACATTGTTTTCAAAAGTCAAAGGAACAATTTTCATAATAAACAAGTTCAGGATCTATGGTACTGCTGAATCTAAAGTTCTAGGAGTAATTTGTTCATTTACCCTAAAATAATTTTTCGTGTCATTCTTTTTCTTCTATTCTAAAAATTTGCAACCACCTCTTTCACATCAATATTTTTTTGCAAGTTAATTGGTAGTTTATAAAATAATTTAGGTATAATTATAGAACCAACTCTTTCTGTTTGACCCAACCATGCATAATATGCCCATCCAATGAAATTTTGGAGATGATAGTGGTTTCTAGGAAGAGTCAAGAAAAATAGGCATTAATAATTGATTGTAAAATGATAGATAGGACTTTAAAATTTTGATCCCTTATATATGGGCTGACCCCTCAAAACTCCAGTTGATTCGTTTTTTTCCCCCTAATGTTAAATGAATTTAATTATAAATTATTAAAATTCATGGTTTAAGTTCATAGTGTAATTTTATATTGTAAGTTTTTCTACAATAAATAAATTTTATTTATTTAATGTAATTAAGTTTTTTTATCGACAGTAATTTATCTAAATGATGCAAAAGTTGCTGAAGTGGGTTCCTAAATATGGTGGAATTCATCCTATCAACACGGCACCTATCAAACTCATCAACACCTAGTTATCACCATCACACCACAATATAAACTATTGTTAATTAATTTATGTTTTTAAAAAATTGGTTAATTTTTTTTTTCAAATTTTCACATCTTTTCAATTGTACCCTTGAGTGTGATAACTATAACATTTAACTTATTTAAATAACTCTTATTAATTACTCAATAAAGCAAGCAAGTAATTGGAAAAAATATATATATTTCATATCCAATTGCTTATATTTTTAATCAAATAAACTTTTAGAAAACGAATTATGTTATGGTTCAAAGGAGTATCACTTTTCAACATCCAATGCTCAAGCTTTCAGAATGTTTTCCAACTTGTATTAGCAAACTCTTTGTAGTTCTAACTCTCCACTGCACTTTTCATAGCTCTACTGTATGTTGTGTATAATTACCTCTACCATCATGCTGCAATTTTTTTTTTTTTTTTTGTTTTGCCCCGTGTCTAGTTCTAACGTAACGGTCCTTAGTATATAGTTTTCGATTCAAAAATTTTCATTATGCCAAGTACTTGCGTCATTTATTTCCCAATAATTTATATAACTTTTTGCTAGCGTCAATTTTCATTTCTTCCATATTCCGAATTTTAAAATTACATCATTAATACTTGAGATGACTTGGTCGCTTAATTGGGCTTCTATATATCTTGCTTCTCTCTTGGTGTCATGTCCTCTGTTGAAACATGATCTAGACCGTCTAATATCAAAAGAAATACTTTGAGCCTGTGAACACAAGTTCTACGCAAAGTTGTGTAATTCTCTAGCGCGTGTGTGTGTGAAGAGTTGAATTCGACTTGGCCAAGTTTAGGTCAGTGGTGGGCAAGGGTTTGACCTATAAAGAAATTTACCTTATTTTAGTATTCCTTTTGTCCCAAATTATAAAACAATTTGATACAAGATTATGCATACCAATAAAGTTTAAGAATGATACTTTACAAATTTAATTTTTCAAAACAAAATTAGTTATAAACTTTCAAAATTACCCCTACATATTTAATCATTACATTATAGTATTCATTCTGATTTTATTTATAGGATAGAGAGAAGATTTTTTTTTTTTGCTATATTTATAAGTCACATTATTAAATTTTCACTACAAATTTTCTCTTTTACCTTTTATTGAATATTAGAGAGAGAAAATATATTATTAAAATATGTATATTTTATATGGATAAAGTTGAAAACTTATTAAATTATAAGAGAGATAATGAGTTTTAAGATTTTCTTTGATACTAATAAAATATGTTGAAAGTGATTTATAAATAGAACCAGAAGAGTATCATTTTAATTCTCTCTATACTTGAAGGGTAATTTTGAAAAAATATCATTAATGAAACCTTAATTTTTTCGAGTAGTTTTTATGTTTTGGAACAACGAAATTCCTTCAGGTTGTGTTTGGATGGGTGAATTTAAGCTGGAATTTGGATTTAAAATCTCATATTTGAAATCTCACATTTGAAATTCATAGATTCTAAATTCTTTGTTTGGATGATATAAAAAAACTTCAAATTACAATATTAAAATCCTTTGTTTGGATCTAAAGTAATATTTCAAAATTTAAATTCTGTATTTGAATTTGAAAGAAACTTGGAAGATTAGTCAAATGCGACGATTTGAATGCCAACTTTCAACGGGATCAAACAAACAAAGCCAACTGGGACTGTGACACTGGTGACGATCGAGATGGGACCTCTGACTTCCACTAGGACTGGATCGTCGCAACGACAGGGACAAAACGATCGACTTCCATCATGACTAGATCGACAGTGATGACGAGGACTAGAGGCTAACTTCCACCAGCTCCAAATTGAATTGACAACGATGCTGATTAAAGGGATGGTGACGGAAGGTGATCATCCGGTCCTCACTTGGTGGAAGTCAACTGTCCTATTCCAGTCATCATTATCTGTCTAGTGCCAGTAGAAGTTGGCCGTCTGGACCCTATCATCACAGTCAATCCAATCTAAATGGAAGTCAGTCATCCAATCCTTATCATCACTATCTGTCCAATCCCAATGGAAGTTGGCCGTTCGATCCTCATCATCATGGTCGGTCCAATCCCAATGGAAGTTAGCCGTCTGATCCCCATCCTCCCTGTTGGTCCTGTGCAAGTGAAAGTTGGCCATCCAATCCCCGTCGTCACTGCTGGTCTGATCCAGTCCTTGTCCTCATCGTTCACGTCTGTCCAATCCCGTTGGAAGTTAGCCGTCCCGTCCTAGTTAACGGTGGTAGCTTGTTTCTGTCAACTTTGGTAGTTTAGTGCAATTATCGTTGGTAGGTCGAACAAGCCTTCATGCAGTTAGGTTAAATTACAAATGAGCTTGAGTTAGGATTTGAAATAATAGTAGTTTAAAAAGAATTTCAAATTATAAAGAGATTAATGGAGAACTTGGATTTGGATTTGGGTCACATTTAAATCAATACATTTTTAGTTATCCAAACAATAGATTTGGCTCAAATTCAAATTCATATGTATCCAAACATAGTATCAAAATTATTTTATAATTTGGGATAGAGAAAGTAATTCTTTACTTTTATGACTAGTCAAACCCAAAGTGATCAAAGGTACACAATTAGATCCATGAACAGACCTAAACATATCAGGTAGATTTCACTTTCTGGTACTATGAATAATATTTTGCGACTAATTAATTGCTCTTATGACATCAGTTCTATGTGATACATTACTATATACACTATAGATATGGTTATTTAAATATATATTTAACTACGGGTTGACTTTTGATGTTTTGAAAAGAAATGTTCAAGTTTTTTGGTCCATAGAAATGTTCAAGTTAAATTAAATACTTTTTGTCTTCTTTTTATGATATAGATTCAAATGAATCCTTCATGGCAACAAAAACAGCTGAGAGAATACTGCAAAGAAAAGGGCATACTTATAACAGCATATTCTCCTCTCGGGGCTCCAGGTACAAGATGGGGCGACAATCGGATCCTGGAAAACGAAGTGCTCATTGACATTGCTAAATCTCATGCCAAATCGGTTGCTCAGGTTTTAATTACAATTTTCTTTCAAAGTCTTGGAGCCTTTTTGTTTGAGATTAAAAAAATAAATAATTTTTAGATAGTTTAGAGATTTTATAAAAAAAAAATTTGTTTTGTAAATATTTTATAAAAAAGTAGACACTATTTTATGTTTCATTACAATAATTAAAAAAGTGATCATTCGTTAGTTATTTTTAAATTTTTAAAATATATTCCTTGATTTCTAGTTTATAAACTATTTATTATTTAATTACTTTAAAATTTTATTATATCTTCATATGCCCCACATTTTAAAAACATTATCTCATCTATCATATCATATTATTTTCAAAAGTTATTCAAAGTATTTTTTTTTAATAGTCAGAAATATGTTTTTTCCTTGAATCTTGATTATTTTCAAAAGGTTAAATAAGTATCATAAAAACTTACATGATATATTTTTTTCAAAAAAAAAGTGATTTTTTTCATTAAATAGGATCAATCAAATGTGCCCTTAAAATGTCTACTTTAATTTAATTTTTTTATGAGACAACTGCTTAGTTTAATTAATTTCTTGGTTAATGAAGTAATACATTTTATTAATGCAATTCATTTTGGTGCAATAGGTAACTTTGAGATGGCTGTATGAGCAAGGAGTGAGTTTTGTTGTGAAGAGTCATAACAAAGAGAGAATGAAAGACAACATAGAAATATTTGATTGGTCGCTTACAGAAAATGACTTGGAGAAGATAAGTCAAATCAAACAGACGAGAGCAAACAATGAAGGGAACCCTTTATTCGATAACCTTCCATGATACTTGTATCGTTAAAAACTTACACTTCCTCTGTTAAAAAAATATAAAATATATTTAATAAAATTTTATTTTTAATAAAATAGTTATTTATTTTTAAATTAATTTTATTTTTTTTATATTTATTTCTATTAAATACTCTACAATAAATATAAAGTCTTTATTAATATGGGCACTTTTGAAAAAAGGCAATAATTATATCTCAAAAGATTAAAAATGCTTTATATTTTTAAACATCCAACTCCTTAACAAATGCCTTACAATTTTAAACGGAGAGAATATACTTTATATTATATACTCAAGATATTTGTGTCTTATTAAATCAAGACATGTGAATTCTTTATATATTATTTATTTTAGAATAAATTATTGTTTTTAATTTTATTAATACGTTAAAATCTATTTGTTTTGATTTAATTAGATAAAAGTACATTAATAAATATATAAAGCCTACCCTTATATATAAGGCTGTATATATTTATTAATGTCCTTTTATCTAATTAAATAAAAACAAATATATTTTAATGTATTAATAAAATTTAAAATAATAATTTATTCTAAAATAAATAATATATAAAGAATTCACATTTAATTAGACACAAATATCTTAAGTATATAATATATCAAATATCTTAATTATATTATTCCAGGTTATATAAATCAAAAGTCATTTTGTTTTCAGTTTTTCTTTTTAAATTATGTCTTCTTCTTCCCATTAATAGTTTATTTGCCTTGTCGATTGATGAACCATCTCTGCACGTTGTCTATTTGTTTTTATATGTGTGTGTGCGCGCGCGCGCATGCAAGTGAAGCTTGGTATAGGAAGAAGTGTTACATGTGTTTTTAATTTTATTCTCGGAAGAAACGATGGTGATTTTAATTTTATTTTTCCTGTCAAAGAGGAGAGAGAGATGTCGTTGTATGTTTTGTTTAAAGAGGTATTGAATTCAAGACTCCTGCCTAAATCTCATCATGCCACTCTTAAGCCTGGATCAGTTATAAGTGATTAAAGTCTAACATTCATTCAATTAACAGGATTGAGTGCAATGAAAGGAATCAATTACTTACAAGACAAATTAAAATTTAAATTCCTACTAAAAGAGGTGTTTATTTTATTTATACTGCCCGACTGTACTTTAAATAGAATTGTTTTTAATAAGATGATAGATCTAAGCAATAAAAAAAATAGCATTCATTTTTCACGAATTTGGACCTTATTTTAATTTCATTTTGGACCCCAGTCAAAAAATTGGAAGTTGATACCAACAAACACGGCTTATGTAATTTCTATCAAGAGAGAGAAAATGGTGGAAGCTTTAGAAAAAATTGAAACAAGTGGCCTAAATATAGAAGTTGCAAGCACATGGGAATAAAGAAAAACCGCCGCCTACTTCTACCACTTGATGTGAACATAAGTGGCGTCCTATATGACATCAATGATGATATCCTACATAGCAATCAAAATCCTCTTTATGGCATCAAAGATCCCATGAATAGAGACCTAGTCATGGATGTCATGGTGGACGTCACCTGCACTCACACAACCAATAAAAGGGACACCAACAGATTCTGAGAAAAATAAAATAAAATAAAATAAAAACCCAAACATATCATTTGGAAACTCTTTTAATTTTATTTCCTTCAATGTAGATCTACATGCTTCCACCCGAAGCCAGTAGATCCGCTACACACAACACAAATTCGTAACATATTTATTTCCATTACCCAACAAATACATGCACTGTTTTTTTAGTATTTTAATTTTCTTCCCTTTTTCGTTTAGTTCTGTTGTAATTCGTATAATAATATCATTTACGTCATTTTGTTTTGGTAAAAATGCAAAAATATTAACAAAAAGAAAAACGAAGTCTACAAAGGAAGTGTTAAAATTGGTATGTTAAAGTAAATAGAAAAAACTGAAAAAGACAAAACGTTGGGACCACATATTTGAAGAGTACAACTATTAAAGTCCAGTAGAAGCTTTAAGATGTCATGGTCCATGAATTGTCGATTAGAGCATACGCAAACTCCTTTCTTATGTCTAATCTTCAAATTTTCTAAACTCACATGATCTTTAAAATTTTTAATCCAGATCAAAAGGTTATGAACAGAAAAGGCCAAAAAAAGTTATGGGGAGATAGCTTTAGATCTACAGAGTAGGAATTCAAAACCATCTGTATTTATTTATATTTTTTTAAATTAGTTTTATGAAAAATGGAAGGGTGAGTTACTGGAACTTATGCTGATAGCTTACTTGAAGGTCTAAAGTTTTAATTTTTGTTAGTAATAAAGTAATTTTATTTTGTTTAAAATTATAGAAAATTACCAAAGTACTTGTGTCTTTTATGTTATTAGAACAAATTTTGGGCCCTCTGTTATAATTTTTACAATTTCATAAAATTCAGATTTATATTCTCTCTCTCGGTCAATAAGCACGCACCGCCTCATTTGTTTTCCCCTTCTCCTTCAACATTTTCAAAAAATCCAGAACCACCAAGAGTCATTTCGTTCATTCTCTGCTCATCTCCTCCTTGCCGTTGTTCTTCATTTCTTCCCTTACCACCGCTAGCTTGCATCTTTCCTTTTCTTCTATTGTACGTTCGCCGCTGAGCTTGCTTGTTTCTTCTCCACTGAGGATCTGCTGTGAAACGTTGCTGTGTTTAGATCACTGGAGCTTGCTGCTGCGAGAAAGCTGTTCAAGTCGACCTACTCGCTCCTTACTCAGGCTTCACCATTGATTCCTTCTTCTCCCTCCTTTGGCGTCGTCTAAGTGATAGTGAGTGGAGCTCGTCCTTCTTCCCCTCCGTTGGTCCGCCGTTATTACTAGTACTGTTGTGGTTTGAGATCTTCTTCCTCCTCTACTCTTCTTTGATCGTGTGATAGCTTCCCTTGTTTCTTCTTGGTTCAATGTCGTCACTGTGTTCAAGTGTGGGTAGCCATGGGTGCATTAGTTTCATCCTCTATTTTGCTTAGTTAACTTCCTTACCCTGCTGCTAACTTCATTGATTGAGATGGGTGTTTGGGATCTTATTCTTGCTGAATATGTGAGTGTGTTATGTGGCTGAGTTGTGACTTATTTCTTGTTGTTGCTATGCGTAAATAGGAGGAGTAATGGGATTTAAACAAGCTGAAAATTTAGTTCTAGGAGTATGATTTTTGGTAGATAAAAGCACTTGTGTTTATGTTGAAGAAGAGGAATTAGATTTAATTTTCTTTAAGGTCCAATTGAAATTTTTTTTCTGTTAAAGAATCAAAATTGGGTTGGTTAATTGAGTTCGATATCAATTTTGTGAATTATAGGAGATGAGATTTAAGGGGAAGAGGTTTGGTGTTAGTCTGAGAATTAATGGATGATAAGTGTTCAATAAAATGCCACTAGGAGAGTTTTGCTTGAATATCTTAGATTTATGAATTTTGATTAGTTATTGTGATAGGTACAAATTTTGCTTGAATATCTTAGATTTATTAGTTTGAGTGTTATTGATCCATGAATTTAGCTTGTAAGTTACAAATTAAAGGAATTTAATTATTATGAATTTGTATGTGATTTTAAATTCTTGGGGATAGAATGGTTATTAATAAAGTGTTGGATAAAATATGATAGGTTAGAAAATTCTAATTGTATGGTTGGAAACAATGTACTGAAGAGAAAATGTTATCTCAAGCAAATAGGTTGATATGGCTAAAGCATTATGGAGGAAATTAGTGACATAAATGGTAGTGCTTAAACATTATTACCTATAAATCTAAATTGAACTTTTGCAAAGGAGTTCATCAAAGGAATTATTGAGATCTTATTTAAGTCCTAAAATTATCGAGAGTTATAAAGTTAAAGAGTGTACAAGGTATATTATCAATTTAGAAGTCCCACTTGGATGTTTGGAAATGATTGGTCAAGAGAATTAAAGGTTATATGTTTATTTAATGGTTTGGAATGCCATACATTTGATGCTTGGTAAAAAACCTAAGGAAAAACTTTTATGTATAAATTTTGTTGCTAAAATTTCAATTTTTTTTATTTTGTTGAATGGATTCCCTTTAAAGAGATTTGTTGATTCAAAAGTAAAGTTCATTATAATCTTATTATACTTTATAGGGTAATTGTAAGGAAGGTAGCTCGATTGGAGTTGTAAAAAATGAATTTTGAGTTTTGAAGATTCTATAAATAAGTGGATAGCGTCCCAACTGATATTTCATTAAAATCTCCTTTATTCAAATATTGCATTTTTATGCAAATTCTTTTTACAACAATAATGTGATTATGAGATATTTTGTTGATTAAATTACTTTATTTCATGAAATTATTTTACCAGAATTGATCATTTTAGTTAATTGGTAAATACAAGTTTGAATTCTAATTGTGGGATTTCATTTTGGAAATTATTGAATTGCTACAGAAAAACGATTCATGCGAGTTTGACATTGAAAAGGAAAATTTGATTGAATAGTGATTAATTTCTCACATGTTTGAAATTGAATTTGAAAGGGACTTTATATAGAACACTGGTTGGCAGGGCAGTTCCGTTAGCCCTTGGCGCACTATGGTATACCTAGCTAGTAGGGTATTTATAGGAGGTACTAGCCCCATGGGATGGCCAATGCATGTGGAACAAAGGGATGGTTATTCATAAGCAATGTACTCACATTTGTTTCGTGGCTTCAAGCTGTGTTTGGTTAGCATTACTTTCGTGGACTATGTGTCCACGTTTGTTTCGTGGCTTCGGCTGCATTTCGTTACTTACCCTCATGGATTGTGTGTCTACGTTTGTCTTCATAGCAAGAGCCGCGTTTGGTTATTTACCCTCATGGACTTTATGTCCATGTTTGTTAATTGTTCTGATAAGTCCCTGTAATACGAATTTGATTATTTTACATTCCATTGGTTTTTAATTATTGAATTATTTATAATTATTCATTTTATTTATTTACTTTCTTACAATCAAGTGATAATAATACTTGATATGATATTTTAGTAGTTCAAGATTTTATTTAAACTTTATAAAATTCTTTTATTTTTGAAGTTTACTAAATTTTTACAAAAATTGTTGCCTCTTTGAATTGCATAATTGTTTCAAACTTTCCTTTTATTCATGTTCAATTATTTATTGTTAGGACGTTATTCACTGGAAAAGATATTTTGGTCTTAGATGGTATAGTTGAACTCGTGACTTGAGATATCCACTAAGGAGTTTTATTGCTGAATTGAAGCAGAAAAATTATTTTTGTCAAATCCTAAATTGATGAAAAATTTGAACTTTATACCTACATTAGCGTCTGGCCTTAGGTGCTCTACGTAGACTACAGGTAGGATCCTTACATTTCTTTTAAAATTAAATATCTAATTTAATATTGTAACAATTTCTAATTACTCTATTAGTGTGTTTAACGTATTAATTTTAGAGTTTATCCGATCACAGCTTAAGAGATACGAGTTTTGTGCCCATATCCCATGCTGGTCACACCTGATTTTTAGGGTGTGACACCATCTTTTATGATTGAAAGATAAAGACACAACATAGAGACTTTTCCTTTTTTTTAAGATGGTAAACTGAATTTCTTATGTTGGAAAATGAAATTGAGTGTGAGGGTTACCAAAAGAAAGTAGAGATCATTCTTTTATAACCCTATAGTCTGTAACTGTCTTTGCATTACATCCATTATTCCATCTGCATGCACCTTTTAAAAAGAAATATTATTCATGAAAGTGCTATAATAACTTATGCAACTGGAGTTATCTTCCTTGTTTGAAGAGCTTTATTTCTATTATACCATATCAAATGAAGAAGAATGCAAATGCATTCTAGAGTCTGAATCGCCTGATTTTGGATCAAAGATTTAGAAATTTGTAGAATTCAAGAAATAAGACCACGACCAAATATGTCTAAGGAACATATGGACAATGAGCCAAACCTATGGCTCTTGAGTAGGGACAATCACAAAGCATGTGTTTGGATAGACAGAAAAATTGATTTTGTAGCCTATAATCAATTTTTTGATTGAAATTACCCAAACACTAAAAAAATGCAATAATCAATTAAAGAGGTAAAACGTGCGTTAATCCATAACCTCCTTAAACTAGCTTCAGCTTAAAATCTTTTTACTATTATTAATGTGCTCTTTCTCTGTGAATGCTAAAAACCCATATTGCCCTTCACATGCTTTCTCTCTCTTCTTTCTGATCTTCATTTGTCTCATTTCAGTCACAGCTTTCTCATTTCTAATCTCCTCTCTCGTTCGGTCTCACTAGTCAGTCCTCATAGTGGTGCTGCCTGTCTGTCGTCATCCACCCACCCCCAACTTAGTCACCGTCCACCGTCTCACCGCCGTGCCATCTCTGTTGTCGTCCACCCACCTCTAACAGTTGTGCCGTCTCACAGTCGGTTCTCACATAGGCAACGATCTTTCAGCCATCCACTAACTCTGTGCAGATTTGTGGTCCTTGTGGCGTTGCCTCCTCCATCCACTGTCTCCAAGTTGCTTCCAGTGGTGGTGATCTCGTGCCATAGTCGAGGAAGGCAGTAAGCTTTATCTATACTCTCTTGCCTCGATCTGCTCATGGTCTTCCGTCCGTCACTAATCTACTCGTGGTCCTCTTCAGTCGGTCCAGCTTAGAGGTAAATGATCTTCTCTAACCTTTTTTTGGATGATCTTAGTCAGGTTTGATCTTGGTCATACTCTATTTCCCTCTTCACTCTGATTTATGCACGGATGAATTTGTTCTCATGATTGCTGGCTTAGTTTTGTGTGGTTTGAACCATTTACAACTCTTGAACATTTACAAATAATAATGTGGGTGAAAGTTGATTTTTCATGCTGTTTTTTGTGTTAGTTTTGTGCCCAGTCGAACTCTGTGCTGAATATGGGAGAACTGTTAAAAGTTAATTTTTTAGCTATTGAAACCTGATTTTAGTTAAAATCTTATACATTTGCAAATTGTGAGAAAGCTGTTGAAAGTTGGTTTTGTGCCTAGTCGAACTCTTTATTGGTTTCGGTCTGTGTGATCACTGATTACTGGAGCTTTATTCTTAAACAATATGTTTTGCATATATAGGGGTCATTTAGTTGAATTTTTTGCTGTGTGATTCTCTATTGAATTTGGCTCATCTGAAAATTGTCAAGTTTTTGTCATGTAATATTTTAATTACAATTCCTATAATTAACATGTTAGTTTTTTATATAGTATAATGATTAATAATAAGTCAAAAGCTTCATGGGATCGAAGAAATACTAGAATATTTATTGACATTTGTTTGGACCAAGCTCGAAAATCGCAAAGAAATGGTGGTAGTTTTACCAAACAAGGATGGCTTAGCATAATTTCTACCTTCAATGAGAGGACTGGACAGAAATATGATAGACAACAATTCAAGAATAAGTAGGATAATATAAGAAAAGAGTGGGTACTGTGGGATAAGTTGGTTTCAAGTGAGATAGGATTAGGTTGGGATTATGAAAGCAATACTGTGGATGCTTTAGATGATTGGTGGGAGAAGAAGATATTAGTATGATGTTATTATGTGAGGCTTTATATTTATTTTATTTATTTATGTATTCTATAATATTATTGATAATTTATGTGCAAGAAAATCCATTATACGAGAAAATCAGACATAAAGGATTACCATTTGCCAATGAATTAACCGAGTTTTTCCAAGGTACTATTGCTAATAGACCTAGAGCATGGGCACCTTCAAGTAGAGTTTTGCCAAACATTTACAATAGGAATGAAAGTGAGGATGAAGAGGTGTATCAGCCAGATATGGCAAATGAGGGTATTGATTTGGAGGAAGGTTCAGGAGATAGTGATGAGATCTTAGGAACTACTGGAGTAAGCGATGAATTTAATAGAGTAGTTCTAAATGCTTCTCAAGGAACCTTAAGTGGAGGCAGTGGTAAGAGGAAGAGGGCCGAAAGCACTAACAATAGAAAGAAGAACAAGTTACCTATTATAAGTCAAATAGCAAATGCAATGAGTGTGATAGCTCAGACAACAAAGGAAGAATCTCAACAGGTTAAGGAAACATCAATTCCTGAAGTCATGTCTATAGTCAAACAATAGGAAGAAGTTGCAACTAACAAACATTGGGTTTCATGATGCATGTCACTCTTCATGTCCCGAGAGGCTAGGGTGATGTTTTTGACAATGAAGGATGATAAAGAAAGTATTTTGGAGTGGTTGAGATATGAATGTTATAAAAATGGTTGATTATTAGAGTTTTAAAACTTATTATGAGCATATGATCTTACTTAAAGAGTAGTCCAACATGTTTGTATTATATTGTTGAATTTGAATTATGTATCCTCTTAAACTACTTATGTACTTTTTATATATGGTAATCAAGTATTACAATGTTGTGGAAAAGTTATTGGTATTTCTATAAATGACTTATTTAGATGTATCTATAATTGAAATTAAATGCATGTATTATTTATGTGTTTGGCTACAGATAGCAATACATATGGAAGATTCGTCTAAAAAAAGGCTAAAGAGAGCCTAAAAAGTTAGTGCTCTCATTGGGTTGTATGCAACAAAACATTTGTGCAAAGAGCCATGAAGAAATAGTGAATATATAGGTCATTTGTGGGTAAATGAAATTTTAGAAGGACACCCAGTTCGTTGTTATGAAATGTTTAGAATGGAACCACATGTGTTCCATCAATTATGCAGTAAATTGACATAGCATGGATTGAAGGATACTAGGCGAATGAGAGTACAGGAGATGGTTGCAATTTTTTTAAATACAATTGGATATGGGTTGGGAAATAGGATGGCACAAGAAAGATTTCAACATTCAGGAGAGACTATTCACAGACATTTTTATGAAGTCTTAATGGCTTGCTCAAAACTTGCAATAGAATATATCAAACCACAAGACAAGTCCTTTCATCACGTATCAAACAAAATAGAAAATGATAAGCAATATTGGCCATTCTTTAAAAATGCCATTGGATCAATTGATCGCACACATATTCCATGTGTAGTCCCTGCTAGTGAAAAATCAAAATATATTGAAAGAAAAGGAATCCCTACACAAAATGTAACGGCTGTGTGTGATTGGGACATGTGCTTTACTTTTGTCTTGGCTGGATGGGAGGGCACTGCACATGATGCTCGCATTTTTCAACATGCCCTGACAACTCAATCCATGAACTTTCCACATCTGCCTTTAGGTATATTTGTTTGTTCAATTTATTTGTGTTAGACTTTCCAACTTATAGGCATTAATAATAATCTTTTTTTTACAAGATAAATATTATTCGGTGGATGCTGGCTATCCAACACCAAATGGATATCTTAGTTCGTATAGACGGGAATGCTACCATCTTCCTGATTTTAGAAGATCAATTGGATTTGCAAATAATAACGAGGTCTTTAATTATTTTCATTCAAGTTTATAGTGCACAATAGAAAGAATATTTAGAGTTTGGAAGAACAGGTTTGCAATTTTATGCAACATGCTTAGCTATGACTACGATATACAAGTTCAAATCATTGTTGCATTAATGGCGATACATAATTTCATTAGAAGACACTCTAACTCTGATGCTGATTTTATTCATCATGAGAGGGAAATATCAGGAAGACCATGAGGATCAAGAAGACCATGACGTTGATGAATATTCATCCATGACATCTTCATCAGCTATGACTAGTATTCGTGATATCATTAGGGACCAACTTGTATATTATCATTTTCATTAGTTATTGTAAAATTACTATTTTATATTTAAGAATTTAATTTTCTTGTCTTTTATTGAATTTATTTTAAGTAAGATATATTTAGTTATTTATTTACATAAATTTAAATGTTAATATTAATATAATTTAAATTTTTAATTAATTATATATGTAGTTTAAACAATATATTTTACTTCTTAAATAAAATGTAACAACTTTAATACTATTAGATACAAATTTATCAATGATTTAATTTTAAAAAGCAATGTCCTTTATGGTAATTTACACAGCTAAAATTGATTCTGAAAAAATTATCCAAACATCTTCAGTTCTGTTAAAATCAATTTTAAAAAAACAGCATCCAAATAGATTGCGTTCTAGCATAATCAATTATGATTAAAATCTACCACTTAATCAATTATTTTCATAATCTATTATGCCCAATTGAAATCCAAACGGGCACAAAAAGTGTGATGTAAAGTATCTAGTAAATCATAGCCAAATGTACATTGGAGCAAAGAATTGAGATGATGCTTGCGTAAGATATCTTTGATAGGTATTGCCTCATGAACTAATTCCCAAATGAAGAGGAGATTTTTATATGGGTAATGGAGTTTCCAAAGAAAATTTCAAATTTCCTCTTTTGCAAAGGGAATATCTTAAAGGCTATGGGAGAGTTTATAAAAACCATCTCTAACAGAGTAAACTAGAGCCTCAAATTAAATGTCATTTACATCATTTTGATTCCCAACCCATGGATCTTCCATTTCTATTATAACTTTTCTAGTGGTAGAGGCACATATCACTTCTCTACTTTCCAAAAAATTACATATAACAGGTAATATGAACTTTTATATGTGAGAACCACTAGTCCTAAGAATTATTTTAAATGTATGGCCATAGTAAAATCGTGTAGAGAGACTAAGATCTAGTCATGTCTAAAACTAAAAGGTTTCTACAGTCAAGGGGTTTTCAAAAATTGTAATATCACATGATGTTAGATGAGCTAATAGATTGATGCATCTATTTTCTTTTCAATAAATGTGATCAAAAGTGACCACCCAATCTCTCATAGTCAGATCTCTGATTTTCTTGGTAATCTCATATAATAGATGGCTTTTTGAATATGTGCTATTAATGAGTGATAAGGCCTCCATTGAATCCAAGTAAACATTAGTTTTGGATAATTTCACATTCCAGCAAAAGTTAAGTCCTTTAAAGATGCTCATGAGCTCAGCTGATGTGTTAGGATGATAGCTAAGATATTTGAAAAATCCTTTAATCCTTCATGTGGCAACAAAAGTCCTAAGATTTTGAATCCATTAGATCTAGACTTGAATAATACATTAATGTCTGTGTTTAGGGGTAAAACCATGTATATCTTTACGGCCCCCCAACCCCACGTGGATGCTCTTGTTCATATGAGTAGGGGTTGAGTGCACCTGGGCATGATCTTGGGCCCTCCAAAAAATCTTAAATAAACATTTGTATACATATATCAATTTGTATACATATATCTATAAATACATAAATATTATATCATATATTTCCTCTCCAAAATTATAAAATACTTTTAATTATTGTATATGTTTAATAAATTAATTAATAAAATTTAAAATTGCACATTCTTTTCATATTTACTCTTATTTGATAGTGTCTCAATTAAAAAATATTATTAATTATACCCTAATTAAATACATTTTAAAAATTATTAATTACACTTTAAAAAACCTAAAATACCTTATATTTTTAACAACATATTTCAAAAAAGTGTCTCACAATACTAAAAGGAGAGAATATTATTAATATAGACATATAATCATCAATTGATCATTATCAATATTTTAGGTCAAAAATATCAATATTTATTGAATATAAAAGCATGCTAGATATATAAAATTTTTATATTTTCTTTATGTATCTTGAAACCAGAATATTAAATTGATGGACACAAAATTTTAAACACACTACAAGTGTACGGATCTAACGTAGTATAGCAAAACAAGCTTATCTCATAAGAAGCTAGTTAAAAGAATTGACACAAACGGAAGTTGTTTTCATCTCAATTAAGTTATAAAATCAAAAAGTGAAGTTTTTATTAAATTAAAAATACAAATAAAATAAAATGAAGTCAAAGAATATATCCGAAGTATAAGATTCTTAGAAGGAAAGCATACCTGTTATGTGTTGGTCGAGTGATATACCATATGTGGGAATGAAGGTACAGACTAAACTCGGTTCGTAGACTTATAGCAAATGTACTTGGAAAACAAAGAGAGAGAATAAGCTGAGAGAATGAATTCTGAATAACACCAAATACTTGAAAGTTATCTGACTCTTAAAACTACCCACACTGATTGTGGTTTTTCAATCGTGTGTGCGTGAATGATGAACCATTCCCTCCTCTAAAGTTTTAAATCATTAAGAAAAAATTGCATACTTAACCCAGAGTATATTACATTTTCAAGCCTAAATCTTCTCTATATTCTGATAAAGATTCCATAGGCTCATATTGGGCCCGATCTATCAAGAGTAGGTTACCCAATATCTCCTACTCATACTTGTGGAGAATATAATATCAGTCTTGTTCCTTTCTCTTTCCTCTTTTATACTATGTGCTTTATTGTGACCACATAAGCTTGACGTCTTCATCTCAGGTGTTCATACTAGAAATCCTATTAAGGACCAGCATAAATAACCTTACAATTTAATTTATTCTTAATTGAATTTGTGCCTTGATGTCCTAAATTTACCAATATACACTTTTCTCATTAGGATTAATCTGACCCTTCTTGAGTCAATCTAAAACTCAGATAGTCTCTCTTATATGCATAGTATCCATACTCATGAATCAACAAATTGTTTCATAAGGGACATGTCTTGAATACGAGCATAGACGTGTATATTTAAGATAATCTTTCTTTCACCCATATACCACTTTTATAGGAGATGGTAGTTTTCTTAACATGATACCTTTAGGTCACATTAATCATGATTATAGGATGTATGTTAAAGTAACAAACATTGTGACATATCTCCATGATCATGTCAAAGTCAAAGGACATCATTGAAAGGATTTTTCCTTTCTAAGACTCACACATCAATGAAGCAAGAATTTATTCACTTGCTTCCTATTGCTATTCTTAAGCACATGTGGTATGAAATACATGTTATGGTGTTACTCTTGCTTATAAGAGCATACATCATTTTCATTTATTATTAACACCATACAAACTTAAGTTCAAATAATCACTATGCCTAAAATCAAATTCTTCTTTATTGATCTCGCATGATGTCAATTTAGAAGAATTTGTTGTTTGGCTACAGGTATCTTAGATATAAGGATCTATGACTTGATCCAAGTATACTTATGGATCTCATCTTGACTTGTTCTTTGATCGAAGTGACATATGATTTGTGTTTTTTCTTTACCATATCAACATTTCTATTACCTTGCTAGTGAATACAAATGTCTTATCTTTGATTTGAATGTTAAAGGCAATTGTCGTGTGAGAGAGTCAACCTTATCAACCTAGATGATAGATTAGATATTGTATATTTTTAAGCTTACACATATGGAAGTAATGAAAATTCTCATTAATATAACCAAAATATTACATCAAGTTTGTCTTTTCACAATTTAGCCATGCTAAGAGCCCTTACATGTTTCTCAAATATCTCCTTGGCTATGGGTTTTGTTAAGGGATCTGCTATCATATACTTTGTGGAACTATATTAAACAGTGATAACCTTTTGTGCTATATAATCCCTTACAAAATTGTACTTGATGTCTATGTGTTTGGTTTTGCTGTGGTACTTAGGATCTTTGGTATAGGCTATGGCTGCAGTGTTGTCACAATGAATTAACAATGGATTTGTACTTTCATTTCCAAACCCAAGATATTCTAAAAATCTCTTTAGTCATATAGCCTCTTGCACTACTTCAGTACATGCTACAAACTCTACTTCCACAGAATATAGGGCAATGCATGTCTGCTTCTTGCTGCTCCAACAAATGGCCCTATTGTTTAGCAAGAAAGTATAGCTAGAAGTTGGTCCTCATTCATCTTCATCTCTGCCTAAATCCGCATTGAAGTATCTTATCAGGCTTAGATCACTCCCTTGGTAACATAGTGCAAAGTCAACAATACCCTTTAAGTATCTTAAGATCCTCTTTATAGCCTTTCAATGTCCTTCATCGAGGTTGGATTGGTATTTTGGTAGTGACTCATGAGTCATATAGCATAGTAGATGTCTGGTCTTGTACACATCATTGCGTACATCAAACTTCTAACTGTACTAGCACATGAAACTCTTTCCATTTTCTTTTTGGCTATTTCAATTTTAGGACCCATATTAGGACTAAGCTTCACACCTGAAGCTACTAGGGTATCCATGGGTTTATAATCTTTCATATTAAGATGCTCAAGAATTTTCCTTATATAATTCTCTTGTAAAAGAGAAAGGAGCTTCTTAGAGCGATTTCATTGGATTTTATATCTAACAATGTATTTTGCTTCACCCATGTCCTTCATTTCAAAATTCAATGAAAGCCATTCTTTAATAGTAATTATGGAATCCAGACTATTTCCAGTTAGTAGAATATCATCTATATAAAGAGATAATATTATAAACTTCCCGTTGAACCACTTGATATAAATACAGTGGTCTTCCTCAATCTGTTGGAATTCATATAAGGTTAGTTCTCTGTGAAACCTCAAATACTACTGTCTGGATGATTGTTTTAGTCCATAAATTGATCTATTTAATTTACATACTTTATCTTCTTTTCCTTTTTCAATGAAACCTAATGGTTGTTGCATATAGATTTCTTCATCCAGATCATCATTTAAAAAAGTGATTTTTACATTCATCTGGTGCAACTCTAAGTTCAGACTATTTACTATTGTGAGAACCAGTCTAATAGAATTAAAGTGTACAATAGGAGAAAATGTATCATCATAATCTATTCCCTCTGGTTGTGTATACTCCTTTGCTACTAAGTGAGCCTTGTATTTATCAATTGATCCACCTACTTTTCTTTTGATTTTGAGAACCTACTTGTTCCCAA